TAAAAGAGATGATCATATTTCTACTGTGGTCAGTCCTTATCACCTTTTAGGAAAAATTGTGATCAAGATTTTTATTGGTAAATAACTCATTTTTATTTGTTGGAAAGATATTAACTCTTTTTAAAATGAGATAAACCAATTTGAAACAGATTTTGTTTATTTTAATTTGTTAAATGCTTATTGATTATAATTTATCTGAAAGGCAGAGAGAGAGAGAGAGAGAGAGAGAGAGAGATTTTCCGTCAGCTGAGTCACTCTCTGAGTGCGCAGGAATGGGCCAGACAAAAGACAGGAACCAGGAATTCCATCTAAATTTCCCAAGTGGTTAGCAAGGATCCAAGTACAAGTACTTGATTCCTCTGACCCATCCTCAGCTGCCTCCCAGGATATACAATAGTAGGAAACACTATTAAGCCCCAGAGTAGCCAAGGCTCAAATCAGGCGCTCCAATACGGTGTACAGGTGTCCAAAGCAGCCACTTAACAAACTGCACCAAAGTACCTGTCCCAAAATATGCTGTATTTAATACACACTTATATAGACTGCAACAGCATCTTTTTGGTAGGCATTTGGTGTATGCTTACAGTAGTTTAAAAAAAAATGGTTGCATTTTACCTTAGTGAGAGAATCTGTAAAATCCTTGTGATTTGTAATGTCCATTTCTTGCCCTATTCCTTACACTTATAATTTTTGAACTACTGCAGAAAGTTTTACTTGGTATCAATAATGACTTATGCTTGGCTTTCTGTTATAGGTTAGTGGTGTGATACATCATTTCTGTATGTTTTCTTTTATATTCCTTATTCTGTTGTCATTGTAAATTATAGGAAGTAGTATAAAATGCAATATCAGTATTTATAGTGAGGAACTGAATATGTCATTTACAAGAAGAGAAAAAAAAAACTTTTGCAATACTTAGCTGAGTGATATTGCTAAAATACCACAAATTCAGAAAATTCTGTACTTCTAGACATCATTTTCAAAATAGGAAACATGTAACAATACAAAAACTTTTAAAAGATACATGTACTATGGTTAGCATGACTCTGTGAATACTAATCAACTACCTTTAGTTGTTTTTATTCTTATTTTCTTTATATTTCATACATGAAAATCAGGATAAAAATTTCTGAAAACAAGATTTAATCTCCAGGAAGAAAAAGAAATATGATTTTCCTGATATAAGCAGGAATGTCTTTTAACATAATTTTTGTGAGTCATTACTTATTATGACTTGGCATGTAATTCTAGCTCCTGGAAATGAAAACTATAAATAAAACTCACCTTTAACTACTTAATAACTGACTGGGATACTGGTCTGCACATTGCCCTACTTTTTAAGATTCTGCTTGATTCTAGCCTGCATATTTGGTGGCAAATTTTATCAACCTTCATTTAATCACTTTGTCATATGCATTCATGTTAATTAATTAATACTTTGTGTAAGCAGGCATTGTAGATGAATGCATACATATGTTTATTTAATGTTGCTCTAGATGATCTAAATATTTCAAAAATAATAAACTAAAAATCTCTAATACTATCTAATTACTGTCATTGATTTTTGAATAAGATCCAATAAAAATTGAATTTCAGTTCCAATGAATGTAGTGAATCATCAACGCTCTTAATCTCCCCAACACAATATACTAAGTGCTAGAAAAATTAATGTTTAGATAAACATACACAGTATTTCATATTAAAGGGTGTAGCAGGTAATTTTCTTTTATATGGGAATGAGATGTTTTCTTTAATGAGTAAAGTAAAAAACAAACCCTAAGAGATATAGTTGTGTTATGAGAAAATTGAAAGCACAAAGAAGTTATCTCAAGTCTCTTCCTCCTTGTTCAAACTATCTTGCATATTCCTATTGCAATCACAGTCTTCAAATTCTAATTTAACTTCTTCCTCAGAGACAATCAGAGGGTTATTAAATTCCCCAGCAAGAACAAAGTATACATGTCTATCAAATACTATTTCTTTCATGTGTAGTAATATAATTTTATGTTACCTGTTGAAAATATTACCCATATTTAAATCATAAACATCTGCTTGCACTTGACCACATATACTGATTCTACCTCTGAGGGCCCTGGCAGTCATTCTCCCTGTCAACACTACTGTGCCCCTTAACTCCATGCAGACTATCTTCTCAAACTGTGTGTTTATAAAGGCCAGCATGGTAGCCTGAAAACTGTACCCAATGCTAAACTTTTCTTTACTAAGTATCATTTGAAATTCTACCTCATTTTTTTAAATGACACCTGATTTTTCTTTCAACATCAAAGTATCGGTTGTGAGAACTTCTTTAGATAACATTTGTTACTGTGAAAACTAAGATGGAAAAAGAGCAGGCAGGAAAAAAATAAGTAGGATATATGCATAATAGAACATATGTCTTCTGAAAACCGTATGTTTCTTGGGGCATTGAAGTAAAGTCCTTCCTAAGAAGGAATTAACATTTATTAACTATTTACCAGAGACACACTATTATCTCCTGTGTGAAATAACAAGCAAAGTAAAAATAAAACATGAAAACAAAAAAATTGTTTTATGCTAATTATTTTCCCCTACATGTAATGAGTTTTAACTATTTTGACTGATTCTGCTGTTTCTTATGTCTTATAGTCCTAATTAACTCATTGGTAAAAATGGTTACATACAGATACTCTCTAGTGATTCCTTCCTGTACAGGATGAGGTAGATGTGATATATATACTCTAGAAATAATATTCTTAATCTGGTATGCCCTCCTCACATACATAAACCACCTTTCAATGACAGTTTAACAATCTTTCTATCAACATAATTTAGTCTGTGCAGGTTTCCTGCTGTCCCTAAAGATCTAATGCATTTTTCCATAATTCAATAAGATTACACATTTTTGAAATCATACTATGTATCGTCTGATTACAATGGAGTGAAGCTGGCAGTTAACAAATTAAGAATCTCTAGAAAATATGCAAGTGGATGAAGACTGAAGAGCATGCTCCTGAATGAACAGTGCATCACAGAAGTAACCAAAAGGAAAATCTAATTCCTGGAAATGATTGAAGACAATACAATCTATCAAAATTTATGGGATGCAGTAGGCATTTTATAAAATTTACTTTCTTTCTTCATTCGTCAACATCAATACATTTGGTTATATTAAACATTTTAATCTCAACTTTCACATGCATCTTTTCAAAACTGAGGGCACATACATCCTGAGCAGATAACTTCTCTGTAGTCATAATAGACTTTTGTCTCTCAGGTGACCTTTTGAAAATTGTACCTCCATGTCAAGAAAGGAGTCAGTCACCTCTCAGATACTTCACAAATTCAGATAAAGAAATCATTCCAGATAAAATCTCAGATTGAATAATACCATTAAAAATTTCAAAAACACAAGGAAAGTAGAACAAAGAATTGAGTAGTAATTTTAGCTCTAAATCTAAGATTCTCTTTTCTACTTGGAAGGTTAGCACTACACAATATTCCTCACTATCCTCATGCCTCCAGTCTGATTACAAAAATTCAATTCTCCAGGATGCTGTCCCAGAGCTTTTTGAGATACAAATGTGAGCCTTGAACTTCCCTGATTAAAATCCTTTAATGTATTCCCATTGATGTAAGAAGATATCCACAGAAGTCTTTTAAGAAGAGCTGCCTAATCACCAACTTTTTTTCATTTCCTTTCTCCCACCAAACTTTAATTTCTAGTTATGAATGTCCATAAACAATTCCCACTTTTCCCTGTAATTTTGATTTTTTCTCTTTATTGATGCCTAAATGTCACTAGATGAAAATATAGCAAGCATCTCCTATTTAATGTAAGTATTTCTACCAACATCCCATAAATCCCACCGCCTGCCCAGTATTGGTACTTTGACATATCCATTGTTTTCCCGGCAAAGTGTAATGAATGACTAGTGGGTAGCCTCAATTTTGTATGTACCTCTGTCTTTTTGTCTCACAGTCTACTTCTGCCCCAATGTTTGCAAGTATTTTACACTTGTGAAATCCTAAACTTTGTGTATGTCATTTGTAATCTAACATCTGGCCCTCTGTTTTTCACTTTCTTATTTCTAACTCTTAACCTGCTTTGCTCACAGAAAGTGTCCCCATTTCTTTTCCTCCTTCTAGGAAATATTCTTCTACTGGACATGATTTTTGTCTTTACCTGACTACTCACTACTTCCATGAACATCATATTATCATCAGTATTCCAGTGGGGAACAGTTTTACTCACAAGTCCATGATATTAATTTGAGCCTTGAGTTCATGTACCTAGTATTCCACTGGATTATTCTCTCTATGAAATAAGTACCACCGATTTAGAATAATCAAACTGAATCCATCCTTCCCTCAGACCCACAGGTTTTATTTTTTTCATTTTGAAAATTTTGAGTTTGCTCCAACAGCCCCAAAGCAGAAACCAGTATTTAACATTGTCACCTATTCCATATCCCCTCCACACAGTTATTCAAATGATTTACTTATATCTTTTTTTTTTTTTTTTTTTGGACAGGCAGAGTGGACATTGAGAGAGAGAGTCAGAGAAAAAGGTCTTCCTTTTTCCATTGGTTCATCCCCCAAGTGGCCGCTAAAGCCAGCACATTGTGCCAATCCGAAGCCAGGAGCCAGGTGCTTCCTCCTGGTCTCCCATGAGGATGCAGGATCCCAAGAACTTGGGCCATCCTCCACGGCCTTCCGGGGACACAGCAGAGAGCTGGACTGGAATAGGAGCAACCGGGACAGAATCCGTCGCCTCAACCGGAACTAGAACCCAGGGTGCGGGCTCCACATGAGGAGGATTAGCCTAGTGAGCCGCAGCGCTGGCCCAATTTACTTATATCTTAAAAGATGTATTTATTTGAGAGGTGGAACAGCAAAAAGTGGGAGATGCAAAGAGTGGGGGGGTTATCAGAGGCAAGAGAAAAAGAGAGGGAGAGAGGAAGAGGGAAAGGGAAAGGGGGAGAGAGAGAAAGAAAGAGAAAGGGAGATCTCAAGGGACAATCTACTTGGTCCATCTTCTGCTGCCTTCCCAGTTTCATTATCAGAGAGCTGGATGGGAAGTAGCACTGTTGGGACTCAAACTGGCACTCTGAGATTGGATACCTGCCGTGCTACAACACCTGCCCCAGAGCACAATTATTGACCACTAAGTTTATGCTAGACACTGTGTAGGTCCGTGGATAGAATGAAAACAATACAAACAAAAGCTCTTCTCATATTCTTATATATACTGGAGAAGAATTTGACAATTGAGTAGCAATAGAGAATACGATTTTAGATAATGGAAACTAACAAAGAATATTAAGCATGATGGAGGGAAGGTATATCATTTATGATTTCATTTGACTTCATGAAAAACAATAGTGAAAATTACAATGACTTCATATTAATATCTCTATCATTGCAGAAGAAAATCCATGTGTAACCAGTCTAGAGCTTGCATGGTGACTTCAATTTCTTCAGGGGTACTTGAGTTATTTTCCTTCTCAAGGTCACTTCTGAGTCATGAAGGCTGCAGGGACATCAGCTACTGCATCTAAGTTGCAAGCAGAAGAAAACATAACACAGAGAAAAGGCAGGCAAATACCGAAGAGTTGTGCACGTGTTAATAATATTCCTGGGGACTCCAGGTAACAAATTCACTGAACTGTAATTGGTTTGCATAACGCTGCAAAGGATGATATATTTTTGCTTATTTTTTTGCTACTCCAAATGAGAATGACTTGTATTATTAAGAAAGCAAGGAGAAAAAGACTTGGGACAGGCAGACATCCCTGACACAGGTCGTTATTTTGTTGGTGTTAGCAGGAGGTACATTACTGAAAAAGTAAAATCTCAGCACATATTTTGGATCCTCACGTCTTATTGATTTCCTCCCCTTAATCTGATTTCTAATCTCTAGTCCCTGTGGTCTTACCCTCCATTAGTAAAGGTCCCCGCAACGCTTCTCTCTTACTATCCTCATGCCTCCAGAATGATCACAACAAAATCAATTCTCCACGATGCTGTCCCAGAGCTTTTTGAGATACAAATCTCAGCCTTGAACTTCCCTGATTAAAATCCTTTAATGTATCCCCATTGATGTAAGAAGATATCCACAGGAGTCTTTCAAGAAGAGCGGCTTAATCACCTCCGAACTTTTTCATTCCCCTACCCCCGCTAAACTCTAATTTCTAGTCATGAATAATGACGTTGATTTGAGTTTTCCCACTTCCACCCACCTTTGGATTTTGTCCAAAGGGATATTTCTGTAAAGAAGGCATCAGTGAGCATAAGCTTTTCTGTCAGAGATGTCAGTGCTATGGGTGGTGTGGTGCACTTTGGGGATATGAATGAGGTCATTGGCACATGAAGCTATTGACCCAAAAGGCCCTGAAATTTTCATAAGAGACTGAACTGCTAGATCAACATCAGAAGCTCCTTCCAGCAATTTTCTTCCAATGAAGCTTTACCTAAAATTAGCTACTGCGGGAGAGACGTAGCAGTTGTCAAATTTAAGACTGGATCTGGGGCTTGTTCTTTTAAGTGGCTCTAAGATAAGGAACTCAGGTCTTGGGCTGAAAGGTAAAAGATGGACCAAAAAAGATAACAGATTGATTTTTAAAAGTATATTTTTCTTGATTTTCAAGTCTCATTGCACAATATTAGTCTAATTTCTTCCACAGATGTATTTAAAAGAATTCAATGAAGCACATAACTATAGCGCTACAATGTGAAATTTATTAATGCATTGAGCAGCACTGCATTGTATCAAAATCATATGTGCTTAAAGGAAAGCTGTATGTTAGATGTACCTTAAGGTAGTGTACAGGAGTGAAGCAGAATGTTCTCCTAGCAAAAATGGCCCGCAGGAATCTAAGGATTATGCACCTGATTTTTCTTTCCTGGTGGCAGAGTACATCTTGCCTTTTGAAGGGCAGAAAAAAATGTTACTTCCATTCCCACTGGATATTTTGCTTCAATCCATAGCAACAAAACATCATCTGTCTCTCCCAAAGTGTCAGAATGATGAAAACACTCAAAATGATAAATCTTCTTCAAAACAAAATTGAATATTACTTTCTTCATGAAGTTGTCCCTAGTGTCATCAGCTAAACCAATCTCACCCTCTACTGAGGTCCCATAGCATTTGGTTTGTACATAAATTTAAAAACTTATCAAACTGTCTTTTCAATTATTGCTAGTTTATTCCATAGTGGTTTTTCTCACTCTATGGTAGTCTTTAGAGCTCTAATTGGAGATATCTTGTTCGGTGTACTTGACTAAACCTTATTTCAGTGACTTCACATTTTTGCACCCAGGCAGTGCCATACTGATGAACTATCTGTTATGTAGCATCTCATTGAATGGAATTTGCTGATTCTACTCTCTCATAGCTATGCAATACTACTCAAATTTGTAACCTTTTTCTTTTACCAGGTTCCTTAATTAACAAAATAGGGGAATATAGACACATCTAATAGGACAATTATGAATTTAAAAGTGGGATAATAAATTAATAAAATAAACAGTTTGGGAACTGAAGCAATCACTATTACCCACTGCCATTACATATTTGGTAAATAGATATAATCATCAGGAAATTAATTTTTTTATTAGTAAATATAAATTTCCAAAGTACAGTTTATGGGTTACATTGGCTTCCCCCCCTATAATTTCCCTCCCACTCACACCCCTTCCATCTCACGCTCCCTCTCCCATTCCATTCACATCAAGATTCATTTTCAATTCTCTTTATACAGAAGGTCGATTTAGTATATATTAAGTAAAGATTTCATCACTTTGCACCCACACAGAAACACAAAGTGTAAAAATACTGTTTCAGTACTAGTTATAGCATTACTTCACATTGGGCAACACATTAAGGACAGATCCCACATGAGAAGTAAGTACACAATAGGAAGTAGGAAGTAGTGTGGGAGGGAGGGTGGGAGGGAGGGAGGAATGGAGGGTAGAGTGAGAAGTGTCATTATGTTCTTAAAACTGTATGTATGAGATACAGGAAATTTGTTCCATTTATATAAAGAAAAAAATAGAAAATTCCCAGCTCATGCTCCTGTCTCCAGTTCCCTGTCAGTGCAGAACTTGGAAGGCAGCAGGGACGGCCTAATTAATTGGGTTTCTGCTATCCACGTGGGAGATTTGGATTGCATTTCCAGTTACTGTTGCTCGCCTTGGTGCAGTCCTTTGAACTGTGGGCATTTAGGAAGTGAACAAGCAAATTATAGTGTTCTCTCTCTCTCTCTCTCTCTCTTTCTCTCTCTCTCTCTCTCTCAAATCAAAAGATTCTTTTTAAAGAAAGAAATCATTTCCTTGAAATTGTCACTTTATAGTTTATAGTTCCTTTAATATTTATTGCATATGCAACAAGACTAAGTGAATGGTTATGAATCAGTTTCTAGTTTTTCCTGTTATCTTATTATTTGCTGTTTGAAAACTACAGTGTACTGCCAGAGACCAGCTCCAGCCAGTCCAGGGGCCCCAAGGTGTGAGAGGTGTCGGCGCTAGAAGAAATGAAAGACACTCACAGCAAGGCTGATGGCATGGCTCTGGCTTTTGAGCACCAGACTTTATTTTTATATTATAAGCCACATAATAATTTTTTCTTTTTACAATGAAAAGCCTGTTGTCCATTTTTTTTAATTACAATTTTTTTGATTTTCAAGGGCATACTCAGAGCATGGGTTACAATCACAGAGAGGTGCAAGATAACAGGCTGCCCACACAAGCCAAGGCCTCAAGTGCTGCTGAACTATGCAGAAATTGGCTAAATAGGCTAGAATAGTACCTTCCTAATCTAATCTTTACTAGAAGCCCCAAGTTCAAAGCAGACCCATGATGCTAACCTTAACCTTGAAACAAATGGAAAGCAGAAAAGGTGGGCCAGTTGATTTGAATGCATTGGATGTTAGGAAACAATGTTTAGTTTAGATTGATTTATTTAGCACTTAAAAAATTTTGACAGTATGTTTTAGTTTCTAAAGACATCTTAGTGTGGTGATAGAGTTCTGTGGGTTAATGTTTCTTTTTGAAATTAGTACAGTTTTATTTTTTAATTAATGAAAATGGTTTTAATATTAAAATTAGTCATTTGATACTAGTTTATAAAAATTGTAAAATTTATCCTTAATATCTTATTAATTCATAAAGATGGATTTGAGTAGGAATAGCAGAGTACCTTCAGAGGGGAATAGGAATGTATTCAGAAGTGATAACATTTTCATTTGTTTGAAAACTCTGCTAGTAAAACCAGTTCTGCTTAGAAAGTTATGTTGTCTAGAATAAAGGTGTAGAATTTACTAATCAATGAGAATGTCTTATTTTGTTTTCTGCAAATTTTGACTCTTGAAAATAACCTGAGTTTTTGTTTTCTTAGTCACTTGTTTTTTCTTGCCACAATATAAACTTTTGAGGGATTTTTAAATTGGTGCTTTTAAGAAGCAAATAAACCCAAGGGTTTTAATTTCATCAGTGATACCCCTAAAAAACTTAAATGTATTTGCACATATATATATATATTTTTTTTTCTTATGCATGCTCAATGCATTTTTGTCCTGAGAAAAGTGTTCTCTACAGAAACTACCCGTGTGTAAAAAGAAGATTGGCTTAAAATGGCTACTGTGATGGGAACAGTGTCTTAGGGAGACGCAGCTTGGACTAGAGGAAAACTAAATACTTTACAACCTGTGGTTTAGAGTTTGCTTTAATGACATTGTATGTAAAAAGGCACATGATTGCTGTAATTTTGTATTCATTATGGTTTCCTCAATAAAAAAAATAAAAATGTACATTGATGAACATTAAAAAATGTATCCCCTCTTTGCAATTTTTTTGTAATTTTTAAATTTTTTATTGTACATTTTGAAGGTTTACTTAGATCTATTCTACAGTTTTGACATCCTAACCATTGTAGTATTTGTAGCATATAGGGAATTAAAGCTTTATTAACATCTATCTTTATTCTAGTGGGAAGTATATACCAGAGAGCCTGTTGCCTTTTAATTCTTTTCTACAAACAGCTCAACCTTGTATAAGGCATTAACCCTTTCTTCTATGCTAACATTCTGCTTGATTAAAATTCTACAAGCCAATGGACATTTTGGAGGTTATGAGACTAAGTACTCTTCCGTAAAATTCGGAATACAGCAATCATTAGCAGGACCACCAGGAAGCTCCAGCTTGTAGTTCCCATCAAACCTAAAACCACCAAGAGGACCACAGCTGTCCTTCTCATGTCTTGCTGAGACAGACCTTCTGCTGTGACCTTGTCAGCCAGCTGAAGTTGCCTTGGCCTCGTCAGTGTAGTTTTAGTGACTGATGATCCATACATACTCACAAGTAGCTGAACTGAAGTAGTACCAGGCAGACTCAATTGGTACTTGGAAAATGGGAAGAAACGAAAATAAATTTCTTTTTAAAAGGGATTTATTCATTTATCTTAAAGTCAGAGTTACACAGAGAGAGAATCTTCCATCCACTGGTTCACTCCCAAGGTGATCACAATGCCAGTGCTGGGCCAGGCCAAAGCCAAGAGCC